GGCTGCGTCCACCGTGAGCCCCGCTGCCCGAGGAACGGCTGCGTGGCCGGGGAGGAAGGCTTCCCTGACAAAGCCTCTTCCTCTTCCTCCTCTCCCCGCCAGGCAAGGCCATGGTCTGCTTCGGGAACATGTTCATCGAGCTCCCAAAAGCACAGACCAAGGAGATGCTGCAGAAGGGTAAGGCAGGCTGCCCAAAAGTCTCCGCCTACGTATAGCCTGAACTGTAATAAGATTTTAGAAAAATAAACGGGGTTCTGTCCAGCGCTGGGCTTCGACGTGCCCAAAACCTCCCGCCAGCAGCCACAGGCAGATGCTGGCCATCGCCGTCGCTCGGCTGTCCCGAGCAGTGCCCTGGGAAGCACGTTCGGGCACGAAGCAACCTGGGGCTCAGGCCGGTGGGCAGTGGAGGGCAGGGTGGGACCCCGAGGCAGCTGGGGAAGAGCCCTCTCCCGCCCCCCGGGCTTGGGCTGCCATGACGAGAGTCCTGCGGGAGGTTCAGCCTGCACCCCAGAGCCCGCAGTCCTCCTTACGCCTGTCCCGCTTGTCTCAGACCAGGAACACCTGGATGAGGAGATAAACAACCTCCGGAAAGAGCTGCGCGTGAAGGTCAACCGCCTCTTCGAAGCTCAAGGTAAACGTTCCTGTTCTGGAACCTTCTCAGTATCTGGGAGCAGATGTCGCGTGTCGGGAGGATCCAGAAACTCCTGAGCTCTGTGTGTTCCTGCAGCCAATTTCCCGCTGGCTTTGCGATTCCCTCCCTGCTCCAGCAGTACTGTACGGCTCCTGGTGCAGAGCTGTCACCCACCAGCACGCTAAACGGGCTCCCACATCACGCCGGGGTGACCCCGCATCAGCTTCCAGGGCTGTCCCTGCCCTCCCCGCGGCCCCTCTAGAGTTTCCCGTGGACTGCTTCACTTATTTTGTAGCAAAATCCTGATTTTTCTGTGTGTTCTCTTAGGTAAAACTGAGCTGAAGGGATTTAACCTGAACCCCATGACCGCTGAGGAAATGAAGTTAATCAATCGCATCCTGGAGGGCTGAGGTGGCCGTGCCATCGTCACGGCGCGTGTTCGGGCTGTCACCCGTGGAGCTCACACTGCAATAGCCGCAGCCTTCGGGGTTTGCAGGACATCGGCGTGGCCGGAGCCCACCTTGGGTGAGGTCCCTGGCAGGCACTGAGAAGCCTTTGGCTCCTCGGCTACGATGCTGCAGTTTCCTCGGATCACGAACCCTTCCTGCTCCTCGCTGCAGCCCGGGTGGCGGAGCTGCGCCGAGGCACGGGCTGGGACACAGCGCTGGGCAAATGCCTGTGGCCGGGGTGGAAGTGGGATTATTAAAATCGGAGCAGCGGGGCATTCCTAACTCCGTGTGTCTGTGTTCCTTGTTGGGTTTTTATGCGAGCGCTTCTGGAGTTTGGCTTCAGAGCTGGTTCATTGTCGTGTCGGGAACAGGAGTAGGAGGAATTGGGAATCCACAGCGTGCCCGAAGCACAGAAGAGGAGTTGTGCGCGCCTGTGGTATTAAAACAAAGCCAAGCTATATATCTGAAGCACGTCAGGAATCTGTAAGATGTGTAGGGAGGGACAGGGGGAGGCAGCATCCTTTTAGTCTCGCTGGGAAAACGTGTTCTACTGTTAAGTTGGAAGGCAAGAGACCACAGAAAGGAGGCTTTCAAAACTAGATGAAGGGATAAAATGTATGTATATTTAAAAAAAGCCTGAATAGGGCTGAGCACGAACGGTCACTGAGCCTGTCTTGTAGGAAAGGACAATTGATTTAACCACTAATGGTTTCTTCAAAGGTTTTAACATTTATTGTCTTCTACACTACCCTCCTTAGTCTGAACGTGCTACCCCAGCACAACTTGGTTAAGACCATAAGAAGTTTTAAAAAAAAGTAATCATAATTAGTAAGGGACTACAATGAGTTTGATTTTTCTCTGTATACAGGAAAGTGTCTGGGTCCTGCCAAGCCCTTTCTTTTTTCAACTTCTGTAAAGATACTTCTGGATAGCATTTAAAAATGTTGGAACACGGCAGTTGTCCTTGTTTCTCTGGCTCTCGAGGTAGTTCAACCATTCTGTCAAACCTCGCACGCGTAACACAGAGCTGGGCCCGATCCCTCGCTCTCTTCCCTGCTGCAGCTTCTGCACAGCCACGCAGAACTTCAACCGCAGCACCGCCATTTTCCTGGCTCCCTGACCGCCTTCCAGCCGAACAGGTCAGAGGTGCCTCCTCCAGGCAACCCGGCACCGCCTTGTCCGGTTCCAACCGCTCTTCAAATGATGCGGCGTTCTGAAAATACCCTGTTTCGGACTCCTTAAAACTGAGATGGGATTTCTTTAAATCTAAAAAGCCAACTACCATTGCTTGATTTAAGTTGTAAAATTCTGTAGCTAACGCCATGTACCCCACACGTACAACTGCAAGAAGCGAGGCTGTCCACTTCAGCCTTAAGTTTCAGATGCACAGATTAAAAATAACATGGACTTATTACCTGAACTATCTTGCCTGTAGCTTTTTTCAGAAAATTGCATCTCTTCTGGAGGCGAGCGGCAGTACAGAGCGCCAAGTCCCTGCGTTAGAGCCGCACTCTTACATAACCTGTGTAGTACGGCCAGTCAGCATCTCCGTAACGTGATGGCGAGGTTATTTTTACAGTATCATGGCAACAGGTTTTCTGCTCTGACATGTTTCCATAGTAGTAGCAGTAGGAGGATCAGGTGCCTGCCTTCCCTAAAAGCTTTGTTTTGCTGTGCAGAATGTGTTTAGCCCCTTTATTTTCTTACACGGTACAGAACTAAGCCATGCGAGTGCAGATGGACAGCCGAGAAGCCAGCATCCCTTGTGTCTTGTGTCAGCCATTACGAAATACTTTGTTTGAGCTTATTGCAGCTTCCAAGCTGGGAAAGCTTCAGAAGCAAGAAGGCCAGCGGCTTGTGCTGAGCCAGCAGTGTGCAGAGAAGTGGGAACTGCTGCTGCCCGATACGAGGAAAAGAGAGTGAACTTCACCCATGGTGATCTCGCCCATCCCAAGCCTGGGGTCACATTACACTTTCTGCTGTGCAGGAAGGTTCCTGAAAAGCTGCTTCAGTTGTTTCCTCCTGTCATCGTAGCAGCCTGCAATGAAAACGTTAACAGGGGAGTTAGTTACACATCACCTTACTCTTCCTTCCTGTCGAGGTGAGGTAATGTCCCGCCTTCAGGTGAAGCTGTACTCGTGTTTTGTTAGTTAGAAACTACAGCCAGAGACGATTGTAGGCACACTGAGCTGCGTACTGCAAAAGGAAGTTACCATACATGTCAGCCTCTCGGAAGTATGACTTTAGAATCCGAGTACTACTTCCCAACAGTAAAATACATAACTAGCTTCAGGAACGTGCCCAGTAAACAGTCACCACAGTGACTGTAGAGCAGTTTTTGCAGCAAAGCTGGCATATGAAGCACTCTGCTGTGACTTAATGCTTGAAAAGCAGGACTATAAACAACACTGTCCCCACTACATTTATGTGTTTGTTTTCAACAGTGCTCCTGCAGCCCGGTCGCTTACATCCACTTTTGGAAAGCATTTGCTGCTTTTGGTCTCTTAATCCCGTAAAAGCCCACAAGCCCGCTCTTGTTCTCTTACTCTCAAGTGAAAGGTGTGTGCTCTCCTCTTGCTGATGTGCAGGTTAGCTTAAGGATGTGAGCAGGGCACCCTGCCAGCGCTGGATGAGCACACACCTAAATGTGTGTTTGCCATGACGTTCTCATTCACCGGAGTACCCAGTCTTCCCCCCCCCGCTGACAGGCCCGTCATTCCATATCAGGTCAAAGCCTCCAACACGCTTCTCCTTCCCCGTCAGCCTACAACGTCAAATACACTTACTGAAGTACCTGAGCAATGACAATTATCTGTCTGCGCACAGGAATAAACTCCCAGACAATCAGAGACAAAGCTGAACAGCTGAAAGCAGTGGACATCTTTCTACTATTAATATCTGAGGTTAGCACAGTTGTAAAGTCAATCACAAAATGCTGCAAGACAAGCTGCTTGGAACAGAGCGCTCCAGAAGCGGTAAGTGTGGGAGGCACAATGCAGAAGGGCCTCTGAAAGAGAGCTCTTGTGCAAGTCCCAGCTCTGACACAGACTCCATCCCCTTTGCAGCCCCGTGCTGCTTTGTTTTCCCACTCTGAAGTGGCAGCATGCTTGCTTACTTCGCTCCGTTTCTGGAAATTCATCATTTAATCACTATAAAGGTTAGAGAATTATGATCAGTTGCCAAGACAGACGTGGAACCAGACCATCCATTCCAAACATTTTAATAAAAACCCTTAGAAGGTAATAAACATCTTTGCCTGCCTGCCCTCCCTGTCCACAATATGAAGTGCGTCTTCAAGTAGATGACACTTGAGTTCACAGTCTTCCTGGCTACTGGCAGCGAGGGAAGGTGAAGCATTCACCTCCAGAAGGCAGCTGAGGAAATACGACAACTGTAAATTAGGGAGAAACAGGCAGTTTTGCCCATGGTTCATCTAAGAGAAATGCCTGTCCACAAAGTCATTACCCTGCTAGCAGGCAGGAGTAAGTGTGAAGCAATAGGAAATCCAACCCCAGATCTCTTTCCCATGCACCGAGCCAAAGAACATTCTGAGCTTATTGCAAAGTTTCTATTCCTGTTCTCGATGGTACTAAAGAAAAAAAAAATCCCTCTAGCTTCCAGACAGACATACAAGTGAAAACCAAAGTCTAGCTGAAGCAGTAAATGCTGAGGAGAATTCACAGAATGAGCATTAACCCTTTTTTAGTGGCAGAATGCGGATATCTATCTCCTGGGAACAGTTTCCTAGCACAACACGGTGTTCAAATAGCTCTCCTATGAGAGCCCAGCAGCAATATCTGAGCACTGCGACGACATCGAGGACTTTCATTCTGATTCATTTGTTTCCTGACCAACTGAAGTGACTCCAGCTCTTTACGTGCAGGCTGCCTAAGCAGTAATTTGGTTTGAGGCTATGAGCAGAGTAAATTGTGCAAATTAGAGCTATCCCGGACCACAGCTGAGCTGCATTTATTTGCTCATTTGAAATAAAGCTGTCCCCAGTGGCACCACGTGAAACATTGGACTGAAGCTGACAGGAGACAGGGCTGCAACAGGTATACCAGCTACCATGTCTGGTTAGAGGAAGAGTTAAAAAAAATAAATTAGAGAAGGCATTTCGTAGGAGAGCACTGTCAACGTAAGTCATATCTAAGGGAAATTTCCTTACCTATGGTACTGCTTGCACTTTACGTGATTAAGGCTGAAAGAATAATAATCCTATTTGCTTGTCATTTCTGAAGTACTATTTGCTGTTTCTGTTTTTCTCAACTCCTGTAATGACAAGTCAGTTGCGCTCTTGGGTTCCTGCTGTTGCAATTCTTGGGTTGCGTACATAGCAGATAAAATTCTGAGAATTTCAGCTGAACTTTAATGATACATATTTTTCCCTTAGCCAGTGAGAAAAGCTGTGTTTTAAAAAAAAAAAAATCTAGAGTCAAATTATGTTTTAAAGTTGGGGTTTTTTTGTTGCTTTGTTTTAAATACCCTCAACTCCTGTGGAGTCCTTTTCTCCACAATTAGCAGGAGGGACCTCTTTCAGTTGGGGTCTGCCTTTTAGCCGGCGTACCATAGACACGGGTTATGTTTAGTGCTGGCAGCTAAACGGCACCGGCTGGAGGTTTATCAATGCTGATGGGGGACTGCTGTGAGAAGAGATGATGGTAACGCTCCATCTCTGGCAAGTGCTGTGATACTTGTGATATGCTGATAACGTATGAGGGGAACATATTCCAGAAATAGCCAAACTGGCAGGGTTTCACAACACAGTGCTAGAGGTCCTACAGACAAAGTTACAGGGTGCTGCACCCAGCTAATAAACCCCGATACTCGGAGCAAAAGCAGCTGTATCCTTCCAGACGGCAGCTCCCTTCATGTAAAACCGTCCAAACCTCTCTACACTTCACCTGCAGTTCCAGACTGGCTCACTTTCAGCCAGCCTGCAAGCACCTACCTACAAGACGCAGAAGCATCACAAGAGACCCCTGTCCCAGGGAAAGCAGCTGGCCTGGTGCTATAACCCCTTGTACGTTTATTAACACCCTTATGGTTTCAGGTCCTCATGGATCAGGATGTCGTACCCATAGAGCTCAAAACACTGTTTGTCTCTGATAATCGCCTTCTGAACGCTCTGGAGGCTGTGGATGAAAGCATCGTCCGTATCCACAAAGAGAACTTCCACTGACCCTGCCCAACGCTGGGCGGTCGAGTGCTGTCCGAGCTGCTGAATCACCCCCTTGCAGCCCTGAGGCATCCAAACACAATCGTACTAAGCTGTTCCCAACAGATGACCACACATTTAGTCCATGTGATTTTTTTCAGTCATCACCCTATAGTCTCCACAGCCCAGCAAGAACTCTTAGTAAAAAGCCAGAGACCAGAAGGTAGCGGCCACCAGTCCCACAATGCAGTTAAACTCTTCAGGCTTGACTACTGTACAGCTATAGGAAAAAAAGTCCCCAGGTCCCCATCAGAAGTTCCCTAACAGCAATCAACATCTTCTCTCCTATCAGGGTACTGCAAAGATCCTCCTTTCCATACAGACAAGAGAGATTTATAGAAGGGAGCAGCCCATAAAATGGGAAGCTCAACACCATCCTCCATTACTCTCAAACATTGACCCTCATCTCGGATTCACGAGGAATCTGACATTCCATTTAATTTTTTTTTTCCCTCCCTCTCTCTCTTTCTCTCAGCTGCCACCCCTTGAGAGAGGAAGCTTAACAGTGACAGTTGTGTGCAGCAATGTCAACCTTGTTGTACCACTCAGCTGCCACCCCTTGAGAGAGGAAGCTAAGCATTGTGCAGCAATGTCAACCTTGTTGTACCGCTGAGGTCTTAGAAGCGAAGGGCTGAGCTATAAGATATCTACATCTCAGAAGAGCGCTAACCAGAAAGTTACTAGGTTTAAAGTCAAAAAGATCAGCCTTCTAGATGTGCAGACAGCTGCAGAGCAACATTGAAGCAGAACGCTCGCCCAGCCTCCCTCCCTCCTAAAGCTGCCATCAACGAAATCGCATTCATGGGTATCAGGAGACAAGGCAGCACAGTTAAGTGGCTGCAGCACGCGTCCACGGCACGGCAGCTGGCAGGATGAGGTCAGCTTGCTTGCATCTGCCAGAAGAGCCCCAATGGCGGGCAGCGGGGGAATAGTCCGCAGGCAGTGCATATCCCTCACCTTCCCGGGATCATAATCACATGTGGTCTTTTGCACTGCCACATTTGTGAGACGAACATCTGGAATGAAGTAGAGATAAGGATGAAAGACAAACAGACACCGAACAAGCAAATACGGAATTCTCACTCTAAACAGTCCTCTTCTGCCCCAGTGCCAATTAATTATCTTCCCTATCTGTAACAGCCACCTGAGCTTAAATCCAATACTGCATGAAGATATCTTACTAAAAATTGCAGGAAAAATTAAAAATCAGAAGTAATCAAGAGTGGTATCTGGGAAATGAAAGAGTGACTGGCCTGAGCTAGTGCTGTACCTCATGGCTGGCACGAAGCTCTTCATGTCAGCACGTCTCCAAACCCCACTGTGCCTTCACCCAAGGCAGCTTGCTGTACCCTCAACTCTGGAAAGGCTTTTGATCATTCAGAGCAAGCATGAACTTTGCTGAACTTTCACGGAGAGAAGTGATGGATTTTCCTGTCTCCTAAGCCACCAAATTGAGGTGGGATACCTTTTGGGAAGATGTGTTAATCAAATGAAAGCTATCAAACTCAATCCTGCAGCAAGCGTGACATATAGGAAATCAAATAGTTCTCCCCCATGAATCACCCTGTCCTTACGTTCTGTGAAGCTGAGGAAGAAGAAAGGCTGCCAACGTCCAACCACTAACAAAACCAGGACTGATGTTTCAGCTTCGGTCCTAGCTGATTTGTCAAACTGACATTTCCAGTGATCCGGTGACTCCAGTTTTCCAACGAAAAAAGACAGGAGAGAAACAAGGTGACAGCAACAGCGACAGGACAGCCGAATCCTGTAGGTGTTTGCAGGAGTCAGAAGTGACAAGGTTCATCTGATGCATCTAACATCAAGCAGTAGAATTGTACGTTCCTTTTCTTACCCTTCTTTATGGCACACACAGACCGGTAGGATACAGTGATCATCTCTGCTATTCAGAGTAAATCGTGTATTAGAAAAGTGAGAAAATCCACCTCTCTACAACCAGGCCTTCAGTGGGATGTACTGGGAGAAGAGGAAAGAGCAACTGGGTGTTAAGGCAAGGAAATCCATTTCTGGCATAATAACGGTGGTTTGCATTTACAGATGTCACTGGAACATAAACTCTCAAGTCAAACTTTCAACCTATGAAGTGCAGAGAAACGTATAATATAACCCAGTTGCTGATATTGCTGCCTAGTGTTAGACCTACCCAATATCAGAAGTTTACATATAAACATGCACACAAAGCATAAGAAGTCAGACCCCAGATAAAGTACCTGACCATTTGGGAAAAGCCACGGTAAGAAACTTTGTTGTTGCCCTGGGGAATGGTGAAGGAATACTGCACGAGACGGGCACAGGAGAACAGAACAAGTCACCGGCAGGAGGAGAGGAGGAAGTAAGAGCAAAAAACCACAATGTCTGTTGGGTATTCCCCAAGAAGAAGACAGAGAGTTGTTCTCACCTTCTTCAATCAACGATATCCTTGTTTTCAGAACAGGAAAATTCCTTCACCTTGTGACCTGCCAACATACAGACGGAAGAGCAGTTACCGGCTTTAACATTAGCATTTCCTGCTCTTTCCCAGAATTTCAGTGTAGAAGCCCTGCATAACCTGATTCATCATCTGTTTGTATGCAAGCACATTTATTTAAGGTTACGGGGGCAGCGGGATCCAACAGCCCTCTAGTGCAAAAAGCTCAGATTCCTAAGTGTTAGGAGGATTCCCGGAGGAAAGGGCAGAGCAGGCAGCCAGCCTATGGGGAAGTTCCACAGTACCGAATAAACAAACTCTGTCACATGCTTGCAGAAATACAAGTAACGCAACATATGTTGTCGGGAATTTTGTGAAGTCACATTTTAAATTTGTGTACGTGTGGTGGTGTGCTCCCCCCGCCCCGCCCCACGTAAGCAACGACCACCAGTGGGGGTCGTTGTGGCTGCATCCAGCTTATGCTGGACTACGGGAATGGATGGCAACACGGTAGCCAAGGGCTGCCCGGAGCAGTGACCCAAACGACTTGCTGATATGCAAATATGACTATAAGTCAATCATCTTACTCCATAAATAGTGGAGAGCCCAGGGCCCGTTGAGCTCTCCTGCAAAGCGGCGGGATCTCCCCTTGAGTAGGGACGCCTCTCAAGGTTACTCCTCGAGGTTGAGAGATTCCTTGCCGCAACAGATCCTCGGTAAGTGACTAACAGCATGCTAAACTTTGAAATCGTAGCTAAGTGATATAAAGGATTAATTGTGCATATATAATCCTTTAGACATAAGTCTAGAAAGCAGGGGGGTCCTTTCTGAACCTCACGGCTCAACGGGAGGGTCTCCCTGACAGTGTTGTCTGACCCTGTCCTCTATGCAGTAAAGAATCAAGCGTACCTTGCCATCGAATCTTGTTAAACCACTGTCGCATGTACCATTGAACTTTGTTAACTCACGCTTTAACTCACTGTTTTCTATCAATGAAGTGTACTGTTGCTTCTCTCTCTTACGAGTGAAGTGCAGTCTCACTCCCTCCGCGACAGTACGTTATAGAACTTAATTAAACAGGAAATTCATGAAAGATGTCAGAGAACTATGGCAAGCAAGAGCAGAACAATCCTGAAGATAGCCTAGGCTGCACAGTGTATTGAAAGTGGGTGTCGAGTGGCCCAGATAAGCCGCCCGAGAAGCAAGGCTCCCCAGGGTACCTTCCCAAGGAGGTCCAGACTCCTGCAGCCCCAGGATGTGGCACTGTGCACGTCCTGACCTACTACTGCAGCTCAGCGTGGGAGTAGGCGAGCTGAGACGTTACAACACAGGGCTGCTCAAGAGCACAGACCGACAGAAGTAACATGGAGTTTATTTTTACTTGTCTGTGAGTTTTGAGGTCAGCCACAAACTATTTCATTTAAGTTGTTGGTATAATCTCAGTAATCACAGGCTTTTCCTATATCCTTGTTTACTGTACTCTGGTTATTTATCATGTTAATTGAGGTTGTGGGCATAAAATCAGCTTAATATAAGGGTTTTTTGTTGCCAATTAACACATTCCCATTTGTAGAGTTAGATAATCACTAGCTGCTATCCTCCTGGCTGTAATTCACATTAGTTTGCATAATTACCTCCCATTCACTTCTCGTAAGTGTGCCCTCACCAATGGGCCTGACTCGCAGGGTAAGGCGAATCCTCCTGTCCCAGCCTCCTCGCCAGACCTGCTGCGCAAAGCAAAGCAAAGCAGCTCTCACGGTATTTTTAATTATGCACCACGGCACGATACTCATGATGTTAAATGGCTCGAATCATCTGGCAGAAGCATGGTGTTTCGCAGCATCACGTTATATTGTTGTAATTTCTAAAGGAAACACGATTTTTCCTCAGTCCCCAGGACACTGGCTGAAGTGGAAGTTGCTGCGTTCAGCCCAGCTCCAGGTAGCTATAGGTTTGGGGGGACAAATGTGATTCAGAACATGAGGCTACACTTCAGGTCTCTAACTGCAGAGCAGAGAGAAGCCAGTGCCAACCAAATCCACCCCAACTTGCACTCCAGGCTGCTCATGGAGTCTCCCGTAATCTCTTCACATTCTCAGGATGGAAGTCCGCTCAGTAAGTTGGCTGGACTTACACAGGCTCGCATCTAAAACCAAACAGATGTTTTCATAGCTCCAGCTTTAGGGGCTGCCCTAAAACACTGCTTAACCAGAAGCCCAATGAGACAGCTGCCCTGCACACACACACCCTCTTGCACACCTGCAGCCAAACTGAAAGATTTCAGAGCATGAACTTGGCCGTAACCCCACAGCGAGAACCCCTGGGAGCACAATCTGTTCCTCCACACAAGAACTCTGCACTTCATACCTTCACCACTGAGTTAACTTTGGCTCTACAAATAAACTGAGCTGTCTTTTGACTGCTGAAACAAATTGTTACCAAAGAAGAAGTGCTTTGGTAGTACGTGTTGACCAGGACGCTGGCCAGGAGCACTGCTGCTCCGAGCCACCTTGCTATGCCCAGTTCTTCCTGCGGATTTCCTGCACATTCTCCTCTCCCTCTGCAGAACGAAGGCATCCATTCATCTCTGTCTCACTTTCCTTTGGAGAGCACATACTTACTGGTTTCAGAATTCAAGTGATGCCAGGATTCTTGCAAAATTCTTCCACAAACAAATAGTGCTCTGAAGGCATTTTGAAGATCTTTGGAATAAAGGCACGTTTTGTTGCCTCAAGCTTTCCTGCTTCTAACTGCTTCTGAAACCTCTTCAGATTCTTTACTAAGCAGTTCTTCTGAATCAACTAAGTAGAAAAAGAAATATAAGGTTCAGCTCAACAAATGCTCCCACAGTCTGACTCACTTTAATTGCCCTTGAGAAGTTTCTGGTGACATCTGGGGATCAACTGCACCACATACTCTGAAGAGAAAAATAAATAAATATGGATACCATCGAGTGCTGCTTTTTCTTTGCGGAGGAGAAGGCTCGATTTTGTTTTTCTGTATCTCTGCATGAACAGGGGAAGCCAGAACAGAGCAGGCCTCACAATCTGTGTTCCACCATTTCTAACGTAGCCTTCCTGTGCAGTCAGCACACTCCTCTCCAGAACAGGCAGCGCTGCTCAGCACTGCCCACACCGACAGCTGTAACTGCCTCTGCAAGCAGGCTCACCCCCCAGGGCCGCAGCAGCCCAGCTCCACCGCTCCCCAGCCGCCGCAGGTTACGGCCCAGTGTGGTAAACCACCCTCAGCCTCCATTCGTGCCGACGCTGGTGAGCGTGAAGGCTCAGAGCAGGGATGCATCCCGCTCAGCCGCCGTGCTGCAGCGGAAACACCACCGCGGAGAGGACGGGGCAGGCCTCCCAGGCTGGAGGAGTTTTACCTGTTGCAACTAAACCTGCCCACGGATATAAACGAGACTCCCTGAAACGCAGCCGTTTTGGAGGCCCTATTGCAATGCACCGTCCTCAGGTGGTTTTAAGGCAAAAGCTCCTTTTGCTGGGCGGATGGAGTGCAGCGCACGGCCCGGGGGCAGGAGGCCCTGCTGGCGCTGTGCTCGCCCTCACCTGCGCGGGGAGCGTCCGGGGTTTAACACGCCGCCTCGGGGATGTGCAAGAGCCGGGGACGCGGCGCCCCGAGCCCGCCGGACGCCCCGCTCCGGGCCGTTACCTCCGGGCCTGGGCCCGGGCCTGCGCCTGCCGGGCCGCGCCCGTCCCCATGGCAACCGCGCCGC